GTATGGAGTGCTACTAAACTATTTAAGGGTCTCCCAAAAGCAATCAAGATGGCCGAAGAATAGTATAAATTCAAAGATAAATGACAAACGTATTATGTATAGATGCTTTTTATGGTCTTTTATACCAGACACTTCTGCCTGAGATATACAAAATGTATTAAAATTGCAAAAAAAAATTGATTAATATCAAAAGCGATATAGATTTAGAAACACTGTATGCGAAAATATTTTCCTCGTAAAAGCATTGTTTCGAGAGCAACCAACACGCCTAGATCAGTAATGTTTAAATAGAGAATTTTATATGAAATATTAATTTGCCTTATTTGTCGCGGAAACTCTAGATTAAAGTATCAGATTGTTACAAATTTGATTACAAACCAATTGTAAATTATACCAACTGGGTATACGAGTACATAACGTATATTAAATTACTAATCCGTTCAATATTTGCAACTACAGGTTGTGATCCAAATTAGGTTTGACATTTGCAATATTTAGTGAAGTAAAACAACAATTTGTTGTACTTACCTTATTACAACGGTTGTTTTTTATGGCCACGGCCCTGTATGCAATCGTAAAGTCCATTTTAATCATTAATACACATCCGACATTGTTCATTTTCAACACATCACAAACACATCTTAATTAAAAGCCGACTAAACTAACACTGAACTCAACAATTTAATTTGTTTAACGGCTAGTGAGCAACTTCAAGTGCGAATTTGAAATTTTAAATAGTTCTCAAATACTCAATCTGGCAATACTTTTGAACATTGCGTTTGAATTATTGCATACCTGGCAACACTGCATTAATTTGATGTTTCAAAAGTGTTTGTTTCTGCTGTTTCATTCCGGCCAAATATAATTTTTAATAGTTTTGTGAATAACTAATAAGTTTATAATATTAAAATGAGTTCAATTGGAACAGGGGTATGTTTTATATATCATATTTTGTTACCTATATAGTTAAATGATAGTACATTTTTTTACATAGTCATCTAATTTAGAGGTTATATATTTATTATTGTATAATTTGAACATTATTTTAAATACAAAAATATTTAAAATAATAAATTATACACTTTACATATTATTTATAAAAAACATATTCATCAAACGTTAGATTCATATATTTATGCGGAAAAAGTTATGTTACACTTTTTATTAAATCTTAATTAAATACATCACTTGCAGTACTCTGTGCGCAATTTAGAACTTTTTATATATGTGAAAATACTTATTTAAATGTCTACAAATATATGTGTATATATATGATGTGTATTTACTATTGAACTAAATTTAGTATTGTACTTGTCAGTTATTTGAACCTTCGATTATTATGAAGATTACTGATATTGTTGGAAACTAGTTATTCTCTGTTGTTAACTGTTAGTTTTAAATATCTTTTTCCAGTACGATCTCTCAGCATCCCAGTTTTCACCAGACGGTCGTGTGTTCCAAGTGGAATATGCAAATAAAGCAGTAGAGAATAGTGGAACGGCAATAGGTCTCAGAGGGAAAGACGGTGTAGTGTTTGCTGTTGAAAAATTAGTTACAAGCAAACTCTACGAACCAGGAACAAATCCCAGAATCTTTAATATTGATAAACATGTTGGAATGGTGAGCATCATAATAGGATTGAAATTAGTAATATATTTAAAAGGTGCTAATAACATGTTTAAAAGTAATCATTTTAAACTGAAGACTAATTCAGGCGTTAAACTAGTAAAGACTAATTTCTGAAGATTACTTTTTATAAAATACTAATAATACTACCAAGTAATATTATTTTTAATTAATTTCTTTATCATATTTTACAAGATCGTATACTATATATCAATATAATCACATTTTAATATAATGAATTTACAACAATATATTTATTCCTGTTTTTAAATGAATTTTTCATCTTTTTAGGCAGTTGCTGGTCTGATCTGTGATGCCCGCGAGATTGTTTCTGCAGCTCGAAGTGAATGTAAATCATATGTTTCTCAATATGGTGTTTCTATTCCTTTGAAATTTCTAACAGAAAGAGTGGCTGGTTTGTTCCACACATATACACTTTACTCAGCTGTCCGGCCATACGGATGTGCTGTATTATTGGGAAGCTATGAAAATGAAGAACCAGTTCTGTATGCTTTAGATCCTTCCGGTGTAACTACAGTAAGTTTGAAAATGATCTTTTCAATAATGTAGTTTTGAGATTTTGATTCTCGTGGAGTAGCTACATTGGGTTTGAAAAGGATATAGTCGATCATATATTACATAAGTTATAAGTATTTTTATTTTATAAGAAGATATTTTCTTTAGCAATATGTTAGTAATATGAGCTTTCATGTGTGAATCAAATTAAATCAAATTTTTCTTTTAGGGTTGTTACGGTTCAGCAATTGGCAAAGCTAAACAAACAGCAAAAACTGAAATAGAAAAATTAAAATTATCTGAAATGACATGTAAGCAATTGGTCAAAGAAGCAGCACGAATGTAAGTTAATATTTTTTTTAGCTTATTTAACTAAAAATAGTTTATCAATGATGTTGCATTTTGTTTCAACTATTCAAATTAGCTTATTATATTAATACTCTTTACTGCTATGTTAAATTTAGATAAATATTTTTTTGTGTTCAAAATTGAATTTGAATTGAGAATTAATTAAAACTACAATCATAGGAGAAAATATTGAAATTTGTGATTTACTAAAGTCACTTGTATATTATGCATGAATAATAATATATTTCCATTTTATGAAGTATATATTTAATATAAAATTAAGAAATAATTATATAAGATTTAAAGAAATTGAATTATCATTTTGATATTTTTTACAGAATTTATTTAGTGCACGATGAGTTAAAAGATAAAAATTTTGAACTTGAATTGAGTTGGGTATGTGCTGAAAGCAATGGAGTTCATGAACGAGTTCCTGCTAGTGTTAGGCAAGAAGCAGAAAGCCAGGCGAAACAGGTATTTATAGACATAATTCTGCTAAAAACTATTGATGATGATATTTTTATTTTATCTACTGAAATAAAATATCGTTATTATATGAAATTTGAAATCTTTTAGGCAATGGAAGATGACAGTGACAGTGATACAGAGGATAATTAAAAATATATTAAAAGTGCTTGCTTGACTTAATTTTATATTAAAAAAATATCCTTTATATTTGCATTTTTATTTACTTGTTCAATTTTGAGATAAAATACAGTACCATCGCCACTTATCATCAATATTAAAATAAAATATGTGTAGAATATTTTGTACCTGTATAAACTGTTTATTTATGTTCTTGGCATATTTTTGATTGGTTTTGTTTAATATATTATTACTCATCACACATTTATAGTAATTTACTATAAATGTGTGGTACAAAAATGATATTTTCTTTTGCCGAAGAATTGTATTTTTATATAAAGAGGATTATTATTATGAAAAGTGAAGAACATAACAAATTTCTGACGAGACAAATTTCATATAAATTTACCTGAGTAAAAGTTGATATTTTAATGCAATTCTCCATTTTTACTAAATGGGGTTTATGATATTGCTTTATATCAGAATGAAGTTTACATTTTTCAATTGATACTGATTTTTGAATAATTGTGACTTATAAATCTTGATTAATAGTGCTGAGAAGGATATTTAAATGATTTACATGTTATTTTATAGATCTTTGATTTTTAATTTTTAACACAATATTTAGCTGAGATATTATTGGAAATAGTCAAAAGTAACTTCTTTTTTCAAACTCACTTTTTGTCATAAAAGATATTGGTGAAAATTGATGTTATTTTTACAAATAATTATTTTAACTAATAATTAACAATTATATTCATAATGGTCTAGGCCATATGACAAATGGTGCTAAATAATTATTTGTTAATGCATTAAAATTGAAATTCATTTTCATTTTATATGTTCACAAATAGTGATGAATTCAAACATTCCTAACATTCAATCAAACTTATGAAATATATGATTTTTTTTGGAATAATAATTGATACATTGAGTTCAAAATAACCTTCTTATTGTGTTCAATTTTTATGAGTTCTACAATGCGATACCAGTCACCAATATTTGTTTTGTATTATTAGGTAGTGCAGTTATTTGGATTAATTTTTAATTAGCATCATTCGAAAGCCCTTACATTTTTTTTATACTTACCAAAATTTTGTTTTACCTTATCTGGTCAAAAACATTGAAAAATTAGAAAAACTATAACTCTTAACAATCTTTATATTTGGAAACTTTTATTAAAAACTAAAATTCTATATATATATATATATATATATATATATATATATATAATTTTACACATTGATATGGATTATGGTAACAAAAATAATGATGTATTCAAACATTCCTAACATTTAATCAAACAAATGATCGAAGTATATAAAATTTTTTGTGGAATAATAATTGAAACCTTGACATAAAAATAACTCCCTTGTTGTTTTCTATTTTTATGTTATATATAGCTCTTGCAATTTTTCATATGCTTAAGATATTTTGTGATCTTGTTCAATAGGGCCTTTTGGCTTTGTCGTTTCAAGCCAAAAATTAAATTTTACTCATTCAAAACTTACTTATCTTCGAAGAGACTACGTCTCTACTTTAGGTATCAATTCACTTCTCACTTTAATTCAAAGAATAAAGAAGATATTAAAGAACATTTACATATTCGGAGGTGTGCAGAGAAAAAAGCAAATTGTAGAAAAGTTTAATGAATTGGAAAATGTTTTAGTGGGATGCCATCATGAAGCATTAGCTTTAAAATTGTCCATAAGTGCGAAAAACGTGTGAAATTGCTGATGAATTACAGATTACTGATTTTGAAGCTCCAGATAGCTGTGAAGATTGTTTTAAAATTTGAATTTGGCGGCACATCGGAGACACAACAAGATATTCTTTTATTGGTGGCAGCACTTACCGAAATATTGCTAAATAACGTTATTGCTGAATAACGAACCGCTCGACATTTTAACGCTGATTTTTTAACTTAATGCCACACAAATCAAACGTTTTCTAGAAAGAAACTTGTCATGATGAATAATAAAAAGTGTAACTAAAGACTGTTTATCCTGACTTGTGATGTAAATGAAAAGTGGCATTTGCTGGCGACTGCCAGACGCGCTGCAAAAGTTGAATTGTGTTGAAAATTATTGTAATTGCTGATGCATCAAGATTACTCAATTGCAATTAATGGAATACAATTATATGTGCAAATGGATTGTTCATGACGAAAATGTGTGATTTTTTTATTTAAAAGTTTTTGACGGTGCCGATAGACGGATGACACGGCGGAACAAAAAACTAAAGGAAACAATTACAACAAATTGGTAACAGTATTGGCAATTGAAGGTATGTCATTATTATACATGATTTCTTAGATATTTGTACATTTTCAAGTGCAACTGAAACTTGTCTATATAATACTATGTAAATAATTATATTTAATGTCAATCGGCTTAATTTATACTGTTCAATTTATATAGAAACATAACGTAATGTAATTTAAGCAAACAACCACATGTAAACACCCGTAAGTCCACTTTGATTATCAGTATTGTATTTTTAGATTGAATTTCTTTAATCTATATAAAAAGACAATACTGACATTAAATATTTTTTCAGAATAAAACTACGCTCCTCATTTTATTTTTATTCAATGCTTGCATGCCATTTTTATTTTATGGTCATGATCTGTCAAACTCCCACATCATTCCCCCCGCAAACAAGTTCTAATTATTATTCTTTTTAACAATATTAATGAATGTATTTTGCAGATATGTAATTTAAAAAGTTTAAGTTCAGGCACAGTATGTTGACTACCAAAGCCACCTTGTTCATGGGACTGTTCAATATATACTTTTTTGTAGTTTTTGAAGTCTGCACGATACGATTTGTCTTAGTCCTTGTCTTGGGCATAACAAGTTGATTGTTCAAGTATCTTTGGGTGATTCAAATAAACCATTTACCGTCTTATTATAATAATATCAATAATTTGCTGTCGTTCCTTTATAGATTATTAAAGTTTCTGAAGTTTGCACAATGCGATTTGATCTTAGTGCTCATCTTGGAAATAACAAATTGATTTTTTCAAGTATTTCAGGATTTTGAATTAAACCAATAACTGTCTTTGAAAATATGTACAATAATTTGCTGTCATTTGCTTAGATTATTGAGGTTTTTGAAGTCTGCACAATACGATTCGGTCTTAGTTCTTGTCTCGGGCATAACAAATTACTTTTTTCAGGTTTCCCAGGTTATTCAATTAAACCATTTACTGTCTTATAAAAATAAGATCAATAATTTGCTGTCATTTCTTTAGATTATTGAAGTTTTTGAAGTCTGCTCAATATGATTTGATCTTAGTCCTTGTCTCGGGCATAATAAGTTGATTTTTTCAAGCATCTCAGATTATTCATTTAAACCATTTATTGTTCTATGAAAAATTTGCTGTCGATTGTTTAGATTATTGAAGTTTTCAAAGTCTGCATTATATGATTTGATCTTGGTCTTTGTCTTGAGTTTAACAAGTTGATTTTTTCAAGCATTTCAGATTATTCAATCAAATTACTTACTGTCTTATGAAGATAAGATCAATAATCAGCTGTCGTTTGCTTAGATTATTGAAATTTTTGAAGTCTGCACAATATGATTTGATTTCAGTCTTTGTCTTGGGCGTCTCAGGTTGATTGTCCAAGCATATAGTGTGATTCAATTAAACTATTTACAGTCTTATGAAAATGAGATCGATAATTAGCTGGCCTCTGCTGGCTTTGCGGTTCTGAAAAATTCTATCACTTTTGTGTAAGTTAGAAAATAAAGAATTTTGATATGTTTCGGTTCTCTGCTACAAACTAAGTAAATTGTTATTACCAAATTTAGTCTATTTTATTACCAATAGTTGTTAATAAAATAAACTATATATTGAATACAAATAATTACTATAACAATTTTGCTTGTGCCTAGACCAGTTACATTCATAACTCAGTTTTCAAAGTTATTGTACTACATCTATTGAATTATCGCATTACTGAATATGATTAATAATTTATTACTTTATTGATGAGTACATTTTTCAAAAGTCCACTTGTATAAAAAATTTCTTTATTTATATATAATGAGTAAATCACATCCTTATTATACTACACTCTTTAATTTACATCAAAACTTAAAATATGACAAACAAACTTTGGTATTATATATAACAAAATTATCGGAATATGTATTATCAACATTTTACTAATCTTTACTTTCATTAGGTGCATTTTTTAAACTCCAAATTTTCTTAATCTAGCAGGCACAAGTGTACAAAAAAATAAAACAAAATTAGGTAACAATGATACCTACACAAAAATAATTATTCTATAACATATTGATAACTTAACACAATTATATTATTTCAAATATTAAAATTAAACTTAAATCTATTAGATTAGATGAGTTATTTACGAACTCGCATATTGCAGGAATTGGGTCTTGATCCAGTCTCGGTTATAGGGTTTGTACACATTTAATCCAGGTTGCTTTAGGAAAATATTTATGTCAAACACCTGCAAAGTAAAAGAAATCATTTTTTTTTGCACTGAAAATTGTTTTGCAACATATATTCTGAGAAGTTCTTGGTCGAGTTTGTCATTTGAATGTTACATAAACAAATGTGAACTAAGAAGTTGTGGTATATAATCAGCTAGGAAGCGAGTGAACTTATTAAAGTATTAATGCTAAAATTCTTTAATTCGATTATTTTCCTTACAGAGTAATAATTTCAAAGGTAAAAGCTTAAAGGCAACATTTTTGATTTGACAACAGATTTGTTGAGGAGAAACATACACTTTGTCTATTAGGAAACTGCATTAATGGCAAATTAGTGATTGTATATGAAAAGATTAGGATTACATATTACCTTATCAATGTAAGTACAAAGATTTTCATAGCCGATGCTAACTTTGTCACCCGAAGACTCAATATCCAAGTCTTCTGCACATTTTTTAAAAATGTAAATGATCAATTCCTTAGGCTCATTAAATTTTAAATAAGTTCTTGTTCTTTCATTAGGACGATATTGTATGAATAATATAATTTTATCCTGCAAAAGAGAATTGAAAGAATGTTTTATACTGTATACAAAATTATATGAATTTTTTTACTCAGAATTTTAACTTGTTAAACTAACTAGTTTTTTGTTATTATTATTAAAATTCTTCTTGAAAGCAGGATTGCTAAATTTAATTCATTTGCTACAATTTATGTAATTTGTTTTATCTTTTGAAAGAAATTTACTAATAAGTTTAATAACATTTTTATATAGATTATAATTTCACTACTATCTTTTATTCTACAAAGCATTCAGTACAATGTTGATTGATTATTTTACATGTTAATGTACTTTTCGGTAACATTTTTACACAAACTCTGAGTAGAAATACCTATTGTAATAACATCGACTGCAATTAATGTAATGAAAACAAATAATTACTATAGCAATTTCACTTTCACTTGTATCTAGATTGTCCTTGCACATGCAATATCTCAACCTTTTTATTAAGTTATTTACATTACTTATATTGAAAGAGAAATAATTTTAATAAATTAAGCAAAAGATTTTTGTAATGCTTAAATGTTTAAGGGTATCCGAAGTGCAAAATATATAAGAAACGTTCTTTTCATAGTATAGATCCTATGTAACAACTATCCTATAAAATTAATGGGATTTATACTATATGTTTCTGTGAAAATCTGAACTACTTATTTGTTAAATGATATATAATATAAACATATGATGGAAAGTTAATGCAAATGTAATTGACAGTATGACAGTGATTTCTCAAAATGCTAGGTTAGGTTTACTAAAACAATCTTTTTTATTACCTTGTCGTAATCGTCTCGACTCATTTTTTGCTTCACAGCAATGCCAGATGAATTATGCTCTTCTCACTAAATATTTATTTATCTAATCACCGATTTTTGTACGATTTTTACAAAATTTGACAAAGCTTGTAGACGTCATAGTAAATATTACATATTGTGCGTAGCGATTAGCCAAGACAGCTACCTGTTCAGACTTTCTCGAATCAATACTTGCTTTGCTATTGGTAGCTGCAGGGTGAAGTTATGGCTTTCAACAACCAATGAAATAATAGAACGGGTCCTAGTTAGTCGGTACCTATTTTCCCTTTTTTAAATGTCAAAGGTTAAAGGCAAAGGACTAAAGTAATTAAAATTGGAATATTATTACATGTTTATGTATTCTTAACAGCAAATAAAACTTATTTATTGTATTATTTTCAAAAAAAATTTCAGATAAATCCATTACCATTCTCGGAAATAAAGCGAGACAAATACGAAGAAAGTTACGAAAAAAGTAGTGCCAATGTAACCCAAAAATATGTTCTAACAAAAGTTTAAAAAAAATTATTCTAACAGTAAATATAACTAGTGGTGTATGGCATCGTGCCCTAAGGCAAATTTCTGGAACTTTCCGTACCATAATGAAATATTCCAAGAATAAAAATTAGTAAAAAAAATTCTTTGAAAATTAAAAAAAAGGAACATAAATTTCTTTCCCCGGAAGCAATCATTTCGTCAACACAGGCAAAAAGTTTTTTGAATCATTCAAATTGGATGCTTAGTTCTCTTAAAAACTGCCATTTTTTAATTTAACTCCGTATTTCCGAAACGACCAGACTTGCCTTTGCCAAAATCTAACCACCACTTCTCCACATCAGTGCGGTTTAAATATTTTTTTGATTATACAAATCGGATGCTCCGTTCTCTCAAAAACACGATTTCTATTTTCTGCACTCTTTGCTCTGTATTTTCGTAACGGCTGGACCGGCCTTTGCCAAAAACTAATCAGCACATCTCCCTATCAATAGGAATCGAATATTATTTGAGCCACTCAAATCGGTTGATCTGTGCGCCCGAAAAATTGTATCCATACATACGTGCACACACACACACATCCATTTTTTCAAAGGTACGCCAAAATGTTCAGAAACCTTCAAAACGTGAAAATATGCAAAAATTTTCAATTTCATTTTTGGACGATAACAATAATGTATCCTACGGGAAGTTAATAAACCTAGGTATAAGTGGCATTTTGCCTTAAGGCATGATGCATGAACTTCCTGTTACGTGTAAATAATCGACTTTATCAACAAGAATTAAAATTAGCCATTTAGATAAAAACATCTTATCAATAGTTGCATGAACTTCCCTATCTATATTAATTTTTCTTTTTTGTATTTATATTTATACAACACAATTATACAATTATATATATTAATCATTAATAATACTTAACTTAAATTAATACATAATAATACATACTATACTAAATGAAAATGTTGAAATAAACTTATTCTAAGTTTCGCCTTTTATATGAAAGAAAAAAAAAGATCCATTTTGAGTTTCATATTTTATTTGAATGTGGACGTAAACTGTAATCACTGATTATCGGTGGACGTAAACTGTATGCACTGATTACAGTGTGCTATTTGGTTTGTAGCTACTGATTACTAATCAGAACGCACATAGGCCTAGACAATATTAGAATACCCCGTGTTCATATAGACGCTTCTCTCGCCCGATTTTTACGTTCAGAAGGAATACTTAAAGGGTCCTCCGCTCGACGTGGTGGCGCTGCTTTTAGCATTCAAATTAATGGCGCAAAATTTGAAATAAAAATTAATGATTTTAGGTGCACGGGTATTTGAAACTAAATTTGGTATTACAATCCTATTATGTTTTGTAATAATACAATAATAACAAAAATATACTAGATAATATTATATTATAATAAATATACAATCAAATCGAAATATAAATCAACAAATACACTGGAATACACCGGTTTATATATAATAGATATCACATCTAATCTACTGGAATAACGTCTACACTTTTTTCTACTTATTAATATAAATATTTATTGAAATTTAGTGAATAATGCATATAGTGTTAGTTCATTACATCGTCTGTCATTCTTAACTCTCGTTAACTAATAATCATCCCGTGCGAAATTTGACATTCTTAAGCAATTCATTTTCTCCCAAGTATATTCAGATCCGTGTGAAGTGGTAATCCAATTTTAAACAGCTGGAACAGCTTTTTATTTGTGTATTATGTCTTTCTTGTAGAAGCGCATACTGATTTCTTACACAATTTCCTGACCTCTTTTCTTAAAGTGTATTATGATTAGACTAATATGTCAATGCACTACGTAGTAATGTAGTAATTATGTCCTCCATATGAGTTTGAAGCTGTTCTATTCATATTGTCAAAGGGCTAAGCATTTGAGAGCAATTCCTTATGAAATCTTTATTAACAAATATACAACCACAAACGAATAAGAATCGCCATTTTGTAAACTTACACAAAAATAACACTGACGTTTCTAGTAACCAACATAAAACATTTGAAAATACTTTTTCATCGGCTCACTAGCGCCAAATCTGCGACTACAAATGGACCCCTAAGTATTCCTTCTGAACGAGGATTTTGTTCTAAGTGAAAAGGCCCTGCACATAGGCATATAATTTGATTAGAATCGCTCAAGCACTCAGCGAATTTCTAATATTTGATGATTTTTCATAATTTAACCGCTTATCATAGGCCTATAATATTTTAGTTTGTTATTTAAGACTACAAAATCTATCGTTAATCAAAGTTTGATAAGCTTCGTCAAAATAAAATTCTCAATATTTAATTACAAAGGAACGGCCGACCTTTACCGAAAATTAATTTAGGCGATTCTCAACTAATATCTTTCGAACAGTTTTTGAATTTTTTAAATTGATTCAAGAAAATGTGGTCTAAACGTGAACGCAATATTTTTCTGCCAATGACAAAAAAACGGCTTGTCCGATCGTTACGCAAACGGTAGTCCTTATCGAGATACATTGGATGACTTGAAATAGGTCCAGCCGTTTTTAAGAAAACGGATTACATACAAACACATAATTTTTCTAAATTTGATCTCATTCAATTTGGAAACATTCATTTTCTTGCGAAAACAAAGTTTTTGTTTGAGAAATTAACTAGGTTTAATTGGTATTTTGCCTTGACGTAAATTTTGACTTGTATAAATCGATTTAATCGTTCAGAATTGAAATTTAGCCACTTTGAAAATCAATTTAGCCACTTTTGAATTTTGAATTTTTTTGGATCGGTTCAGATTTTGTGAATTCAAAAACACTTCGAAAGATATTAGTTGGTGATCGTGCATATTAGTTTTTAGTAGAGATAGGCCAGGCCGTTTCTCCGTAGTAGTTAATTGTTCAAAACACAGTTTTGAGGATTTTGATAAAACTAAAGATTCGAGTTCATCATTTTAATAAACATCAGTCGATTATTACCTGTTTTATGGAAAAATGGATTTTGTATTTATTTTTAGAATACTTCTTTTGGAAGACCTGCTAAAGGTTTTGCAATGTAAATATCTTGAGGAAAATTCTTTCATGTCATTCCCTAACCATTTAACTTATTATCAATAAATCGCCATTAAGAAAAAATAAGAAATAGTGGCTCTTGACGTAATTCAGTCATCTACATGCATGATATTACAGAAGGGATGCTGTATCGATCCAACGAGATTCAAGTTAGATTCCAACCCCATACTAGTGACGAAAATTCCTTCGATACATGAGCGGCGCACTTTACACAAAATAATATATGTATACATACATATTATTCGGAAATTTTATCATTGGTAATATTATTGTTCTTACGCTTTAGTATTTTTTAACTAAAGTAAATAATATAAATTGTAAATATAATTTATAATTTTATTTTACAAATCGTTTGCAATAAGATAATATTGTAAAAAAAAATTGTAATGAAACTAGCAATGCGTGTGCATCATCAAGGCAAATTGCTGGAACAACAATTTAATTTTTGCTTTTCAAAGCAATTGCGCTGCGTAGCTATTTAGACTTTTTTTTATTGGATCTTCAAAACCACTGGGCCTGGTCTTTCTGAAAATTTAACCTATTCTTGACCATATCAATACAAGTAATACGTTTTTTGAATCATTCAAATCGGATGCTCCGTTTTCTGAAAATTGCCGTTCTGGTTACTTCTTTTATTTCATGAGTTGTTTTTGTACTTGACGCAATGAGGGAATTATTAGTCATCTTAGTATGTATGTGTTTGCTCTTATTTTTTAGATTTATTTATGAATTGAGGTAGGGCGAGGCACAAAGGCCCAATTTGAATTTAAATAATTATACTGTCTAAACCAGGGCTTCTTAAGCTTTTCTCCTTTGGGACCCCAATTACAATTGCGAGTTTCTTGACGACCCCACAGATATAAAAAAATAAATTAATATTTTTAAACAATTTATATATTTGGTAACAATATACATATTGACGCTATATAGTTTGAGAATTTATTGAGAACATACAAAAATCAAGACGTGATGTTATAAAACGATATAAATATTTGACATTAAAATCACTCGCGATCCCTGAATTTTTCCCAAGAATTTAGGGTCGCGAGTCGTGACCCATGCTTTAAAAATCCCTGGTCTAAACCAAATGAACTACATCCAAATACCTAACACATATCTAACTTCTAAATAATGTTTAGTAAAATTCCTAATTATGAAAATAGGGTTTCTACTATTTTCCTAAAATTTGTCAAATGTCGGTTTGTACTTCATTGGCGATGTAAATGGGAAAGCCAAGGGGCAAACAGATCCAATGTCTTATTTCAAATTTGTTAGAGATTTTATGAAATAATAGCTACATTATTCAACCAATGCAAAACATAACTTTTATGGGTACATTTTTTACAAAAACAACACTGTATATAACCTTAATCTGTTTTTTGTAGTAACTATTTATTTAAATTATCTCTTTTTAAATTACTTTTTTACCTTAATTTACTTTTTTATTTATTTTTTTGTTTTGTATTTATTTTTTACACCTTGCTAAGATAAAGGTTCAATTGTTCCTTTTCACCCCAGCTACATGTAAGCTTTTATAGAGGTTATAAAGAAAAAACTGTTGAATCTAACTTAAAAGTAATAATACATCTTATTAAACAATTAAATATCGTATACTTAAAAATTATATTAAGATGTTGTAAACTAAACAACAGTGCTCACAACCAAAAAAAGTAACTTGGAAAGAAAATACTTTTGTTATTGATTTTCAAACATTGCCATTTATTTCCAAGTAGTGAAGTGGTAAAAATCAAAGTGATGACTGGTTATATATATTTTTCCCTCTACTTTCAAATATTGTTGTTAAACAGCTCCTAACTTTACTTGTTTTTGAGATAATTGTGTTAGACCTTTTTACGCGTGGGCTTTTAAAGCCCGCTCTATCCTATACTTAAAATCTTATTAACTATAAATACTTATGAGACATCCATTAATTACGAGTAATCACGTAGAGGAAGTTGGGGGTCCAGTAAGATATCACGTGAATTTATTCTTTATCTGGATTTAAAAAAAATCGAAAAATTTTCAAAAATATTATTTACGATTTTTTCTAGGTACTGAAAATACACGTGATGTTTGGTGGGGAAAGTGGAAAATTTTAAATATCACCAAGAATCACCAAGGGGGAGGGAGGGGTCCAAAAATCTATGAATTATCTTATAACAAGTTATTTAAAATTTGGGTTTTGTTTTGAATCTACGTCCTTGTACTCCTAAAGGATTCTGGAGGACGCATGCGTGGTCCATTCGCATCCCGGGAGCCGAATAAATCTGAGTTGTCCGAAAATCAACGCGCCATCAGTCCATTCGGCGCAAAAGATTTTTTGTAACTCAATTAACATTTTCACAACATCTTCATTTTAATGTGAAATATCTAGATCACATTAACCTAGATCTAGTTGAAATTTATTTACAAAATTTCATTATTATGAGTTGGTACAAGTGTTTGTTTCTTAAAAAACATTAGTATACTGGCGCGTCGGGATGCAAATTAGTGAATATAGTGGAAACAAAAATTGAGTTTTACAAAAATTATTTTAATAAAATTTAGCAGTTCATGTAAGTATTGCAATTGTATTTTTAAATGTCATGTGTTTGATATGTTTACACAACAAAATTGATTTTAGTGAACTTGGTAAAAAATACTTTTAGAAAACGTTTAATATAAATAATTAAGATAATAACTTAAGAGACGACATAAAAAAGTTAATCGACAAACGAATTATTTATTAATTTAATTTTTTTTTTGTTATTCTATTTATCGACTGTATACAATGTCTTATAAGCTCTTTTTAGCTTTTTTTTAGCTCTAGTTTGGAAGGAAAACATATAGGGATAAATAAATAATGTGGATTTTAAAATAGTTTTTATTTGCTTGAATATTTAGTAATTATTGATGAAATAAAAATGATAATTTGAATAACGGCCAAAATATTCTTGCAATTGTGAAATACTTTTATAGCTCTTGGTTCTTGGCTTTACGATTTTTCTTATGTTTCTGAATAAGATGTCATTTTAAACGATTAATTTTTATCAATTTATTAGTTTGAAATGTTGCAATTTTCTGTTATTTTTTGTGAAAATGGTATTTGAAATTATTTTTTTATTTGTGGTTAAATGACTTTTCATGAACAGAAATAAAAAACATATTTTAAATATGAAAATTTGTGACTATATGACTTTTCATAAACAGAAACAAAAAACATATTTTAAATATGAAAATTCATAATATAATTTATGAACACATGTTAATCATCATATTTGTGATAGTTTGAATTTTTATTTTTATTTAATTTAAATAAAATATGACATTTTATTAGTTAACATAATTTTTTATATATTTATTTGATTTACAAGAAAACAATGTTATTTTTAATACAATTTGCAATATAATTTAATTTAAAGGTACAGAACCATTTAGCAAATTGTTATATGCTTAAAAATAATATTTTATATTTACAATAAGCAGAAGTTCGGAAAGGAAAATACATAAAATAAAAAAAAGGGGGAAGGGAAATAGTGGTAATAGGTTAAAGAGTAAGGGAATCATTTATTTATAGTGGCTCTCAAACCATGGACCTGCCTTCGGACAGACTACCATTTATTATTATTATTATTATTTACAATAATGGATTTACTTGTAGGTAATTATATATTTGCTAAAACTAGTATCTAAAGTATTTTAAATATGGCTAAAATAAATAAATACACAGAAAAGATTGTTGGCTATTTCAAAGGAGTTATATTTTGCTTCCTTTGGTACACGAGCATATGTGCAGGTTAGTGAATCTCATACATTACCTATAAAATAAAAGATAAAATTTAAATTTATATGTTATTATTAAAATTTATATTTTTTTCAGGTTTTTTCATATTTTTCTGTCCATCGTATTTGTTACTGCTGTTAAGTAATTCCTGGTACAGATGGTATACGGATCTGGTATTTTCTTTTTGGGAGTATTATCCTACGGTAAGAAAACTTAGAATATTTATGTCATTGTCTTCATACACAAACAAAATAAAAAAGGAGTGCGCGTAAGGTTCACACGCGATTGAAGTAAAACTTATTTGCTACTGTACAGATGGCATTTATGTAAAAATAAACACATCATATAACAATTTTGAATAATGTTTATTAGTAATATGCTAACACTCGTGATGCACACATTTATTGGTTTCAACCATTATACACATTTATATAATGATAAATTATAAATTATATATTTATAATTGCATTAAAAATATGTATAATATGTAAATAACTGTATTAAAGTCATATTTCAAATATGACATGATCGGTTTGTCATTGTAATTAGCATTTAGAAATGAACCTTCATTAAAGAAATCCAGTAATTGCTGATTAATAAATTCTATAATATTCGTTCACACAGTGGATTATGTTAAACAACGCCTAAACAAATATTGTTTTCGCAACTTCACTCATTATGTAATTGTGTTTGAAGAACTTCATGCAATTAAAATTAACATACATTTATAGACTGCTTGTATTTTTCTTTACTTTTTCGCTGGCGATATAATCTCATTCTTTGAACAGCTGTTTTCCTAAAAAATATTTTTCATTTTAATAACTTCCAAGATTTATAGAAACTTCGAATAATATAGAAATAATTTCTAATCAATAAACTTACGTTTAGTACACGGCCCAAATGCTTAATTTGTTTTATTATTGCGACGACAATTTTTAATTTGCTGCAATAAATATTACCTTCTTTTACAGGCATTATTAGAATTATGTTACAAAACAAAAATTTTCACATACGGATCACCATTCCGCAAAAAAGATCGTGGATCATTATTCCTGATGAACCACAGGACGAGACTGGACTGGAATTATGCCTGGTTGGGCCTGCATGCCTTAGAGACTGATGACAGAGACTATGGTACTGATGAAACTTGTGATGAAATCAAAACATGTGATGAAAATGAAGTGAATTATTGGACATTGGAAAATGGTGATATCTATTTTGATTCCAATAATGTTTCGACTTGTAAAGATGTCATGAAGAAGAGAAGTTGTGATTTAAGCAATGATAGTACTATTAGACAAATTGATACAGATAGAATAGATAATAGTTTAGAAAATATACATTTAAGAAAATTAAATAAAGTAGACAATGAAGAAATTTGTTCTTTAGCAAGTGTTTGTGATGTATTGAAAAAAGAAGTGTATTTTACCAGCAAGGCATTGAGTAACAACCTAAATTCACCAATAAAACCTGAACCAAAGAATTATCTTAATAGCATCTCAAACTCAGGCTTGAGGTGCAGGAAAATTTATGAGAGTAAAAATAATTTTGATGATTTGATGAATACTGACACCACAAAAGTCGATTATGAAGCAAGCACAAAATCTTCTGTTTTTAGTTTCAAAAATTTGATGCGCCCTACTCATAATATGAAATATGTGTTAAAGGATGAAATTAAACATTTACCTGGACCAGGTAAGACATTAAAATATATTATTGTTCATAGCTCAGTATTAAAATCAAGGAAGTTCAGACAAATTGAACTTGATTTTATCAAACTTTGAATATATTATATGATTTTTTTTATATTTTTAGGTTGGGTCATGCAAATGTGCAGCTTTCCTTATATAAAACGAAACTGGGCTCATGATCGAGATCAGCTCATTGAGACAGTTAGATATTTATCTGAAATATCTGGAGCTAATTTCGGAATTCGTGAATATGATGAACTTGAAAAGTTACGACTTATGGATGAAGAAATAGGCACCACAAATACATCAGACTTGGAACCAAAAACAGCAACTAATTTAGGTAATGCGGAAGCAGAAAATTCAAAAATTATTAATGATAATTGTACAAATATGGACAGTGTTCCCAAAGTTTTAACACCGAGAACCACTATCAAATATAACATTCGAAAACATTCTAATTATCAAGATAAAGTTATATTACTAAAATTTAATAGAATTTTAAGAACCGACAGTAACCAAAAAGATGATTTATCAGTTAGAACAAAACACGCATTGAGCAATTATAGAAAAATCAGTAGCAAATATAGAAAATTTCTTAAATTAAAACTAATATTTTTAAAAATGTGCAAAAGATTAAAGTTTAGTACTTTTCTAGAATTTTGCTCGAGAAGTAAGAATCACAGTACTGCTATTAAATGTTTAAAAAAATATTTACAAAAATCCAATTACAAACCATTTTATGATGGGCATGTAAACTTGTTAACAAAAATTTATAAAACCGATATTTTAAATGAATTGAAAAATTGTCCTAAATATACACAGAGGTTTAGTCCAAGAAAACTTTTAAATATGCATTATAAAAAAGCACTTCGGTGTAGATTGAAAAATGAATTATTGTACTCAAATTCTGATCGTCAATTTGGCGAATTTGAGGATGATTTTTCGCAAACTGTGAAAGATGGCGAGAAAACACTAAATGTTAATGATAAAAATAAAATACAGCCTTCCAGTGCTGGTAGTAAACATCAGACCAAAAATAAATCAAGAGTTGTCAAAAAATTGAATGTTAAAACGAAACCAATAAAATTCCCAGTAATTATAAAAAACCATAGGAAAAGGAATGAATATATTTATAATAATTGGAGTATTGATAGTATATTAACAAAGGCAAAGAAATACAACAATATTTATACTAGGAATAAAGGAAAATATAAAAAATGTAATAAAATATATGAAGCTAACGACGGTAAAGTCAGTCAAGGTTTTGTCCATTGTAATGCTGAAAATGATAAAAATTTGGAAAATATGGAAAACTTAAAAAATACTCACATATATTTGCAGAAAAATTATTACAATGATGTAATGAGAAAAAATTCTGATTTTAATTTAACAACTAAAAACAATATAGAAAATTGTCAAAATATTCTTCAACCTGCATTGAGCAATACAAAGAAAGTAAGATTCAATAAAACTTTACTAGAAACTGATGCAAAATGTGTTGAAGAATTCCAGAGTTCTTTGCACAAAACAAAACTTAATAAATTACTAAATTCTGACAACAAAATTAATACTGACTCAAAACAGTTTAAAAAATGTAAAAAAATCAGAAAAATGCTGTTGAAATCTAAAATTTGCGACGAGGATCTCAATGGTGACTATTGTTGTATTAAAGAGAAGATTTTCATGGAAGAAGAAGAAAAATTGAAAAATAATATAAATCATACTAAAAATATAAAATCTCTGAGTTATTTTGATAAAATGAAAAAATATTACAATATTTTCGACAGCACCAATAAATCTATCGATCACAATTTGAATGTGATAAAACGCCAAAAATTTGGAAAATGGATTCATAAAATTAGTAGAAACCCAACTATTCCAAGAACCAAAATCAAATACGTTAACAATAGCGTGAGAAATTATTTTAAACAACACAAACTAATTCATAATAATAAAGCTACTAATCAAAAATGTAATAATGATGTTTATAAAAGCGCGAATTCTAATTCAAAACCTTTGACGTCATTTGAAACTATTTTATACGACGGTTATACTACAAATGTTATGAATTTTGAAGAATGTTTAAGTAAACAAAGTTTAACTGCAAATAGAATCTCATATGTGTCACATTCTTTGAAAGTGGACCAAATTGTTCAAGAAAATGATTTGAAGAAGTTTGATGATGGTATTTTGGATAGTTTTGATAGAAGACCTTTCCAACTGTTAATATTTCCAGAAGGAACAGATTTGTCAAAGAATACTTTGAGGAAAGCACATGAGTATGCAAGGAGTAAAAATAAGCCTCTGTACAACCACGTGCTGCACCCAAGGTAATAAATTAATAATATAATAATAGTTATAGATATTAATTATAATAAAAATAGCAAATTTTTTGTTTCTACTTTTTTCTCAAATTTTATTCTTCGATGTTTTTTTCTACAAGCTTTCTTTGTTGTTTCCAATCATTTACATTTTTTTCTTGTTAGCTATTTTAGTCATGCTATTATTTTTTGAATCTACAATGAAATATCCGAAAATTTTGAGTATCTTCATTATTGCTTGCAAGAATATTTTTAAATATTGAATTATTTCTAACTCATGTGTAATATTAATATTTGGGTTTTGAAACAATTTACTTATTTATTTTGGATATTTTATGCGATTTATTCTATTGAGCAAATCATAGAGAGCAAAAAGTTTTTAGCCTTTCATTATTAATACATAACACTGGTACTTCACGTTGGATTATTTTAATTTAATTTTTAATTACATAAAATATTCAAAATTGCATCGTAAACTTCTCCTAGTTGATATCGTAAGGGCCGTATTGTATGCATTTATCTTTACTTTCCCATCGTTCACCAGATTGTTGTTTCAAAGAAAAAAATTTAACATATTTTAAAAATAATATTCAAAAATTAGAAATAGATGCAAAGAAATTATATATTTCTTGAATGACATTGAAAAAACTATATTATAAATTTCGTGTTGGCGCCCCCTACAGCGTGCGCCCGCATTTTTCGCATGCATATCGCAATGAAGGTAGGACCGGCGCTGGATATATACACATAACACTCATGTCAATTTTTTTTTTTGACAAACCCTAATACTATTCAGAACATTGAGAGGTACATTATCTTAGAGGTAAATCATGAATTTTACATTTATATATTTATAACTATTTATTAAATTTTGCAGGCCGAGAGGTTTCTGTCTTCTAGTTCGAGCCATGGGGGCCTGCCATTCTTTAGATTCTGTTTATGACATCACGGTTGCTTATAGAAAAACTGTGGCCCAAAACGAGATGGATGCTGTTAAAGGACATTTTCCTGAGGAGGTATATTGATTTAAAAATATTCGAAGTATCAATTATACAGGATTTTATTGATCTTCATAAATATATTTAATAAAGATGCTGCATGTTAGGCTTTTCATAAGTTGAACACCTAAACCATCGATCGTATTGAAAAAGTTGGCTAATTTATATTTTCGCACCTGGTATTTTAGTTCGGGTAGGTGTAGGTCCAATTCATGTTAAAAAGATCCGAACTGTTTGTGATAAAAGATAAAGTTATTAGCATCAAAACACAATTAGTAAAAATTATAACCTCTATGTACTTGGTAAATTATGAAAATGTTTATTCGAACGTCGATTGATGACGCAATATACAGTTCAGTGAATTCAAATGTTTGTTATTGAATTTCATCGAAAGGTTCTTCGCCAAGCGCCAACCTTTTCCTAGGTTTCATTTTTCCATAGATGTCGTCTTTGCTCTTCGTCCTTTTAGGCCACCACGCACAAAATATCGGGCATTAGATAACCTAACGTTGCCAAAGTCTAACACTTTGTTTTTTCATAAAATTTATATTTAGTGTTCTTATATAATAAAAGATTATAGATGGTGTGGTGAGAATAAAATACTATTTAGTCATTGTTATTTTTGTATTGAAAATCTAAAAGACTTCTGGCGGCCGAATCGGCAAAAGTAAGGTCCGTAATGTGCATGCGGTACAATGTTCTAGTCATAGATAAACAAGTATAATGGTTCTAGTTTTACAATCGTGTATTTTATAAAAGTGTATTTTATATCTTTCATTAATACTTGACGTCATTTTAGGTACATTTCTTATTTAGAAGATATTCCGGGAAGTATTTGAATTCTCTGTCTGATGTTGATTTGAGACAATGGTTAGAAAGAAAGTGGTCTGAGAAGGAACAGATTTTACAAGAATTTCATAAAACCGGTAAGCAAAAAAACATAAATATTCACCGAATGTTTATTTCGTCATAAATGATATCAATTTATTATTTACAGGAACATTTCCATACAGAAAACTGAAAAGAAACATCTCCAAAATCAGATTGACCTTGGCTTTGATATTTTGGACAATACTTGTCTTCGTGCACATGTATCTTCTCTACTCTAACTCGTTGCACTGGCGATGGTGGTGTCTTTTTCACTCTTGCTTGATGATTAGTATTAGAGGGTTCAATCAGTTGGAGATCAGGTGGTACAAATTCAAAAAGTGGATTTTCCAAAAATGTAGGAAATTCAAAATTTTGTAAATGAAATTTTGTAATTGGGAGAGAAAGGTAACAAAATTTTAAATATAATTATATAATTAGATCACAATCCATATTTGCCCCCGTGTCTCGTTTTCAAAACATAGATCTATATTTCTCGACTTCATAAATTGTTCAAACGACAGGAAATATTTAAATAGTAATTAAAATAGTTAATTACTATTTAAATAATTAAATTAAATAGTAATTGAAATATATGGTTATACTTGCGTTTTATATGCACTTTGCGTTTCTTCAGCTTAATTATAAAATTAATAACAAATTTGAAACGAATACCATTTTTGCTTATGGTTTTCATATGTTTAGACAAAAATTCTATAAAATGCACTCAGGGAAAACTGCAACATCTATGAACAATTGTTTTTCTTTTTATTCATATCTTATAATTCTCATAATTTTCTTGAATACCTATGAAAGTAGTTTAGTCCGGGAGTACATGACTATGTTTTGAAGATTATTCGTACATGAAATGAGATTATTTTTATTATAAAATGACGCTCGTACTTCGTACTTGTCTGCTATTAAAATTTGATACTATTAGATTAGTGAATTGATATATTTATATGATCAATCATTGATCTTTTGACTGTGTGATTTAGTTGACTTGAATCTCCAGGTTTATACAGAAAGATCCATTTAATGAAAGTGATCAATAAGATAAAATACGGTTTATTTTATGTAGTTTATATATTAATCAGCCGAATACGAGTGATTTTTTTAATTTTTGGGGCAACTATTAAGAACGTTTAAGTGATTTTATTACTTGGACAACTAGATTTACTATGCATTTAAATGAAAGCGTACCCATGATACTCCTATTACCATATTATACCGATTAAATACTCTTTAACTATGCGAAATCCATGCACTATGAAAACTCTCATATATATTTTATAATAACGTTTTCTTATTATATTTTTCTACTTACTACGATATATTATAGTGACAATGTAAATATGTATGTATTTACAACTTTTGACTCCAATTTTCTTCTAAGCATAATTATTAAGAATACTTAGCTCTTTTGAATAAACCTCTACTTATACATACTATTGAAAATTTGATACTAATACGCACTTTTTAGAAATATCGATGAAGTCAAATCTAATTAAAGTTTTTTTTGATCAACTCATTATAGTAGAATTCTGATGATTCATATATATCACATGCTGGTTTCATAATTATTTTGGATATGTTTTGAAGATTTCTCTTTCTATTAAAACTGAAGAAGAAAAACTCTAACTAAAGTCCATTTCATTAATTTTTAAAACCTTAAATTTAACGATCATTCAGTATAATTACAAACGGCATGTACGAAACCAAAGATTTTTTATTGTGATCTACAATTTGTAGTCTATTATATGAAGACTTTTAGTAATTATTTTTGTTTAGTTAAATGTACTACCATTGGGTTGCCTTTCAATGGCCATTTAAAGACTATTTAAGGGTGTCTCAATGGTGGTCCTTTCTAGTTGTGATATATACTTTAATGAATAATTTTGTACATGGGCTATACTTGGAAGTATATTTTGAACTATATTTCCAAGTGCAAGTAGAATAGAATAGATTACTACAGCTTGATATCAGGTTGACTGAAGCTCGGTGTTGCCACCTTGTGGTTGCAAGATCTAAGCACTACTAATATGCTACGAACTCCTTAAGTGGGCGTCCATTAATCACACGTGATCGATTTTTTAAAGATTTTTAGACTCCTCTCCTCCCTGGATATATTAAAAACTACTGCCCTCCCCACCAAATTTTAAGTGTATTTTTAGTTAGGAGAAAAAATATAAAATTTCAAATTTTTGTTTGAAAATGCTTGTATTTAAAAAAAAATATGGTGAAAAATAAATACTCATGATATCTTACTAAATCCCTCCCTTCCCTACGTAATATTTCGTGATTTTTTGTCAAAACCACCCCCTCTCCCCTTAAATAAAAACCTTACGTGATTAATAGACGACCCTAAAATAAAAAGTATCTACGGTTTTTTTTTAAAAAAAAGACAATTTTGAAATCGATGTGGTAAACGCTCAGAATTTTTCACTCCACCCAATAATTATTAACTAAATGATTAGAAATAATAAATATATTTTTATCTTCTCTCAGTCCAGTCTAGTATATGCATAAGTCGTCGAACTATAGATTTATCTAGTCAGTAATATTAATATTATTTTTGTAAATATTTAAACATTCGTACCGGTCTATTAGTACCGGTACAATGGAGTAATAGTAAATATGCTCAAAAGTCTTTACCAATCAGTATTAATAAATATACATAAAACTAGTTTATAGGAAAATTCTTGCTCGAAATAACACGACTTTAGATTTAAATGTTGGTGTGTGAGAGGGCTTTGAACTTCAACTTAAAATATATAGATTTTTTTTAAATGTTCGGAATCGAATAATTCGTTTGCATTATATAGAAATAGAAACTATTTTTGGTTATAAGAATTTTAAAAAAATTTAGAAACATTTCGTTTCTGTTTAATTTGCTTTAAACTTACGTTATATTCGCGGATAAAGCACATTTATTTTTAAAAATTTTGTTTTTTTCAAAACTTCAGACATATATTTTCTCATTAGAATTTTTTTAATAGTGAATAGTGAATTTGCCTAATTATTTCTTGTTTCTTTTATAATAATTCTTACAAGTAGATAATATTAATGTATCAACTATAAATTAATCCTTGGAAATTTTTGAGTGATATCCATATATTTTTATTAGTCATTTTAATCTTTAATTTAATAAAATAATTTGATTCAATTTTTATTGATGATTAATTTTTCATAATATTGATATATATAATGAATTCAATATTATTAATTCAGAAAATAAAAATTTAATTTTTGTGACATTTCATTTAGAAAGGAAATTTTATTTAGAAAAGTTTATCAATGGGATACTTTTGCATTAGAATTATATTTAGGTTGCTTATTGTTAAAAAAGATACTTATACATTGAATATTAGTATCAGATAATGATTGAAATCAAAACTTTCTTTGAAAAAATATTTGACCATAAACTTACTACTTACACCACCAAAATATAAATTGCAAAACTCAGAAAATGGAATTTAAAGCTTTACATAACGATTTTCAAAATGACTTATTGTAGTCGAAAGCTGAATTTATTTATTTATTTCCATTTTTTTATTATATACCTGTTAATTTAATTTTTATGGGATTCATTCTTATTCCAAATTGTAAGAGTTATAAAAACAAATGCAATTTTATTAGGATAGTTTGTTTAACCCTCCGTCGGTCGGCGTGGTCTGGCCAGACTTTCAGACTTCAATTACAAAAAAAAAATACTTCTAGTAATCCTATCGACTTGAAATTTCTTGACTTTTCCTAAAATTTCATTAGCTGTCGATCAATGAAAAAATCAGGACGAAAAAATGTACAGAAGGATAATTATAAGGATTTAATTTTTTTTATACTTCGAACGGTCGGAAAGGTCTGTCTAGACCACGCATACATTTTGTATGAAATATACGCTTTTTCATGGTATTTTCTATTCAAACTGCGTTGTTTATATTCTTTGCTATGTGTTCTAACATGAATGTTAGTATTTTCATGACGAGAGTTTCTTGAAAACCTACCAAACTTATTGGTAATCGCAAACACTGAAAATCGGATGATTAATGCACACATTCATTCAGGCGCCAAAAAGAATAAATACTGTTTTTCATTGATTTAAAACAGAAAAATTAACAAAAAAAGCAACGTTTTTTTTATATTTCTTGATTTTTTTATATAATCGTTAATACATAAGACACCAAAAACTCATTTATCCCATATAAATGCATGTAAAATGAATGGTGGTCCAGCCAGACCTTTCCGACCGTTCGAAGGTGAAAAAATATCCGACCGACGGAGGGTTAAACTATGACTTCATTTACAATGATGCTTCATTTTAAACTTATTAGACATAAAAAAATCAGTTTTACGCTTGTGATTTGTAAATGATTGACTAAAATATTAGTCACTAACATGACTATTTAATTAAATTTTCAAAATAATAAATGGAGACCCTGTGAATCCATTGTCTGCCAAAATAACCTAAAGAACTTTCCTTAGAGTGCCAAGATTTTTTTCTTACAACTAGGAGAATACATTTTTCTATGAATTATATTACTGCTCAATTATTAATATGTTATTGAAATTATTTTGGAATTAGGGTAATCGCATTTTAAAAAAGAATTTTTGCAATTAGTCCCAACTATAATCTATAATTAATATACTCATAATTAATAAATCATTTTCGATAAAACGCCATATAGAAAACAGTCAGTTTAGACATTAATAATTTTTTTGCATTAAAAATTGAATAACCATTATTTTTCAATAGCAAAGATTTTTTTATTTTATTTTTCATATCTCAGTTAGACAGGGATATCTGGTATGAGAGATTTTAAAAACAATTATCGAAAGCAAGAAAAATAGTTAGGTGATTCCAAAAAATAGATTATTAATTTAAAACTTATAAAATTATTGAAATTTTGCTTCCTGTATCATATTGTGATCAACCCCTCCACTATGCAATAAATATTTGATATTAGGTGCAAATATCCCATAATAATCTCATAATTGTTCTGCTAATCTGATTATTATACTAATTATTTGTGATACATATTTTAGAGAGATTGAAAAATATGTTATAGATTTTATTACATCTATGATATAGGAAATAGTTAAACGCTGAAGCTAATCAACTTACTCTTGCTTAAATTTTTAAATTGAGCGATTTTTGAAGAAAGTATGAACCGCATATATGATAGATTTTGTAATGTGTGACGTCCTTGAATATTTTAAAGACCACTGAGGATAATAGATACTTTGTAAGAATAAGGAATATTACTGTTATTTAATGTATATTTAATATATTTTATAAGTACGTGATATTAGATAATTATGAGCATTTATTTCTTAAACACCTTTTTGCCATGTTGATCAGATTCTGGTAATAAAATATAAATTATTTCATAATTAGGTCTTTTTTAATC